GTGTTGCCTGCAAGGGAACTGCGAGTGACATTGTTGAGTGCGACGAGTTCTACATCGGCAAGAGTTATCAACTATTACAACGCGCTCGGTGAGGTGAGCATATAGCATATCATCGATACCAAACCCTCACGCAATACTTGTAATCCTACTTATAACTACGCATGGAACCTCCAAGTAGGGTCGGGCATTAGCGAGTTCAGAGACGTTTCACAACCCCAGCACTGAACCCAGGCTTAGCAGGCTTGGCTTTGCAAGACCCTAAACCTTAAACCCTGAGCCCTAAACCCTAAACCCTGAACCCAAACCCTAAACCCTAAACCCTGAACCCCTAAAACCCTAAACACTAAACCACAAAGTAGGCCAACAACCGAACACCCCGCAGCGAGCTCATGAAATCCAGAGTCCGTTCTTGGTCTTTCCAAAACGCAGCCTGGAGCCCCAACCCCAAAGCCTAAACCGGAACCCTAAACGCCCTAAACCCTAAACCCCTAAACTCTAAACCCTAAATGCCCTAAACCCGAAACCCTCAAGAAATGCCCTAAACCCGAAACCCTAATCATCGTCAGGGTACACCTCCCAGTGCCGCGTCAGCTTCGACCAGCTCCAGGCCGCATATGCGGCCTCGGCGCGCGCGGAACGGATCCTCGGTTGAGGGGGTTTAGGGTTTAGGGTTCAGGGTTTAGGGTTTAGGGTTCAGGGTTCAGGGTTCAGGGTTTAGGGTTTTAGGGGTTTGGCGGTGTCGGGAGTGCAGGGTGTAGGGTTTAGGGGCCAAGCGTTTGGGGCTTGTATAGCTTAGTGTGCAGGGTTGAGGGTTTAGGCTGAACGAGTTTGGGGTTTAGGGTTTAGGGTTTAGTGTTGAGGAAGCTTCAAGGCTATGTTAGAATATGCTGTTGTCGTACTACACACGTCAATTTGCCTGGTTGAGAGGCAGCACTTATTGTAGACATGCCTTTTGTGTCAAGGGTCTACAGCAGGCGGGTCCTGCGATTTGGGGTTCGATTTGGGGTTCAGGGTTCTCTGGCATGCCGTAGGACATGCTTTTGCAGCATTTTGCCAATACTTTCTGTAGATTGAAAGGTCCCTTGAACGCGAGTCGCCCGTTTCTTGCAAATCCTAACTCATGCGTGTAATGCTCGCAAAACCCTTGCACTGTCGGCTAAGCTGTCTCTTGCCAGAAAGGCTCGAAGACCAGGAACCGCATACCCGGCGCTTTCGAAGCACTAGGCCCGTGAACACTTCAGTGCCATCAACAAAATCAAAAATCTGCCCTAAACCCGTACACAAAACAGAGCCACGTGTCGAAATTTGCAAGGGTGCGGCTGTCCAACGACTGGGTCATTGTTGAAACTTTCTTCAAGAGGTCATTAGCAGGGAAAGCGTTGCATTTACTATATACCTAAAACCCTCAACCCCAGACCCTAAACCCTAAACCCTAAACCCTAAACCCTAAACCCTAAACCCTAAACCCTAAACTAAAGTATCTCGGTTTTCGGTCCTTACCAGGAGCGCAAAGCAACATCACCCAAACCCTAAACCAGAAACCCTATTCCTGAAGAAGCCCTCAGCTCGATTCTTAGAGCCTAACCTTCAACCCTAAGCCCCTAAGCCCTGAACCCTAAACCCTAAGCCCTAAACGCTAAACCCTGAACCCTGAACCCTACACCCTAAACCCTGAGCCCTGAACCCTAAACCCTAAACCCCGAACCCCAAGACCAGGAATGCCCACGATGTTCTGAAGAAGACGTGGTCGGAGGTGACTTTCCAGGAGCGGCCTTCTTTGGGGCTGTTCCGGGGCCTGAAGCCAGCGGACATTGAGGGTTCAGAGTTTTAGGGTTTAGGGTTTAGGGTTTAGGGTTTAGGATTTAGGGTTGTGTGTTTAGGGTTTAGGGTGTAGGGTCGAGGGTTTTAGGGCTGGCTGTAGGGTTTATCATTTCGGGTTCTTCGGGATTCCTCTGAAAGGGTTTAAAGAGGTTCTCGTGAGCCAGCTGTTGGACGGTGTCGAAGTTTTTACGAGTATACGTGCTTGTCTAAATTTGTATATATATATATATGTAGTGTGTGCACCCACACCCGCACCTGCACGATGCGGATGGCGGCACAGCCCTCGTGTGCGCTGCATACTCCCTCTCTGTCTCTGTCTCTGTCTTTCGCTCTCGCTCTCCACCCACTCTCTCTCTCTCTCTCTGTCACCCTCTTTCTCTCTCCCTCTCTGTCACCCTCTCTCTCTCTCTGTCACCCTCTCTCTCTCTCTCTGTCTGTCTGCGTCACGCTGACAAGAAACAGAGAGGTAGCGGAGGTAGCTGGATGGACAGGTCGGGCTGCTGGCCTCCAGAGTGGTCGATGGCGGCCTGCTGGACCAGCTCGCCCTGGCGGACGTCCAGGCTCACACGCCAACTTGGGGTTCCGAGGGTTCCTCTAGTTATTTTAGTCGGGCTTTAGGGTTTAAGGTTTAGGGTTTAGGGTCGAGTTTCTTCTATGTAGGTTTTTTATGTGAAGGTTTGTTGTCCGTCACAAGTACCCCTGCAATCTTCGTGACTTTGGGTTTAGGGGTTCGAGGGGTCCGCGGTCCTGAGGTTTTGGGAGCAAGGAGTTAGGGGTTCGGAGTTTTAAGACTCAGGGGAGCCTTCCGGAATGGTGGAGTCTCTGTGAAACGGTTTCTGAAAGGCTTCCAAGAGTTTAGGGTTTAGGGTTTACCGTAAGAACCCAAACCCCACTTTTTTAAAGGTTCTTATTATAAACCCTAATATGTGATTTATAGGGACCCTACCAAAAAAGTAGGTTTTGGGTTCTTAAGGTCGGGTTTCCTGGATGTGTGCGTTGTCTTCGGCTTCAGGAAGGTCGACTGCCTGGACTTTGCAGGCTTGAACCCTTGGGGTTTAGGGTTTAGGGGTTTAGGGTTTAGGATTTAGGGGTTTAGGGGGGGGTTGCCAGCTGCAGAAGCCGAACATAGGGGCCTTAACAATTACCTACAGGATTTTGGGGGTTCCCTATTATAATTATAGTATAATGGGCCCCATTCCCTGTTATAATTATAGTATAATGGGCACCAAAACCCTGTTGTAAATATAGTATAAGGGGCCCCAAAAACCCTGTTGCAATTATGGTATAAGGGAATTAAAAACCCCAAAACCCCAAAACCCTGTTGTAATTGTAGTATAAGGGGCCCCAAAACCCTATTCTAATTATGAAGGCCCATATGGGAGTTTCCGAAAATAGGGGACCCTATTATAGCACCCTAAATAGTAGGACCCGTATTATAAGGACCCCAAAATAAGGTACCCTAATTTTTTGAAACTCCCATGTATTATCTAGAGGCCATAACCCCGGGTCTCCAACCCTAAACCTGACTTTTAACCTGAAGTTCAACCCTCAGACCCTAAACCCTAAACCCTCAGACCCTAGACCCTAGACCCTAAACCCTAAACCTAAACCCTAAACCCTAAACCTATCAGAGCGAGCTTCTGCAGGAGACGGGGGGGCTGGTGCACTTAAAAAAACCTAAACCCTACACCTAGGGCCTGGAGCCGTCGAGCAGCAAACCCTCGACAAAAAGGCTCCTGCCTCGATACTTCAGCCCCCCTTCTGGTAGGAAATCAGGTGCCTCCGACTCCCCTGCTTCCGTGTTGGAGGCTTCGGGATCCAGACCCTCATCGTTTAGGGTTTAGGGTTTAGGGTTTAGGGTTTACGGCCTCAAGCCTAAACCCAAAACCCTGAACCCACCATGCCCTGCCGTCTAAACCCCAGTGGAGGCGGCGCAGGTGATTGACGCTGGCCAGCAAGAGATCGACGCGTGCCCTGGTTGGGAACTAGGCTTCTGGTTCTGCTTACAGGGTATAGGGCTTATAGTGCCTAATTACATAGTATTATTTCGCCTTAAGGTTGCATATTATTATGAGCATACCATCATTATCCACAACAACCTATTCTAAGCATTGTCCTCGTAGTAACGGGTATGGTTAACTTTTAGTTATCCTTTACGTCTAGTATTCCTTACACAGAAAATCCCAGGTTCTGCGCCAGCGACGGCGCAGCCGCCCTCAAGCACATGCGGGCGCACCTCCACAAGGTCATAATCGGAGTCACCTCTGGGGCCTTTCGATAAGGGCTACTATGTATGTTTGCTACAAGGCTACTACAAGGGTTCTAGAAGGATGCTATACGGGCTCTGTAGGGGTTCTGCAAGGCTGCTGTACAACATCTCCAAGGGTTTCGGAAGATCTGGGCTCTAGATGTGTGCGGCGTTTAGGCTTTTCAAGACCTAGGCTTTAGGCTTTTCAGGAGCTTTGATGTCAAGAGTCGCGTAAGGGAGCGATTTTGGGTCTAGGGTGCAGTTCCTGAAGATAGGTTTAATATACCTTAATAATTAGACTAGGGTTTTGGGGCCCAATATGCTGTAATCATAATAAGGAACCCTTAAAATATGATAGGTAATTACTTAGGCCCCGACATTATGGTTTATGGTTCCGGGTTCGGGATTTATGCCAAGCCGGCAAGAAGCCGCAGCCCCTGAGCCCTAAACCCTAAACAGTGCTAGGGCTAGGGGATCAGACACTGCGGAGAATTTGGGTTTCCGTGCCAGATTTTGCCACGAAGTGGAATTACTTTGTAGGAGTGAATGTTTCTATAAGGGTATGGGTTCTTTGTCACGGTTTCTCCTGGACCTGCGGTTTCTGGGGTGGGAGCCTCAAGACACCGGACGTGTTGCCTTGGCTGAAGGTGATACTTTGCATGTGTACTTTTTCAACTGGAGTTTGGTGTGGGGCAAGTTGTTAAAAGCTTGGGGGACGCATGTCTGTGCTCAAGTTCAGTCTTGCAAGGGTTTTCTTGGTTTGGAGGGTTTTTCTGTCGTCCATGTGCGGTCTCGGTTGGAGACAAAGCATGGGTATAACGCGCATGTTGCCAACTATGCATGTGGGGCCATTGTCCCTGCCCAGGGCAGAAAGCATTTCACGCGTGATGAGGATCTGAAGTGTCCGTTTTGTGATGGTTTATTGGCGACTGAGCACATGTTGTTGTCTTGTCCTGAGACGGCGCAGTGCAGAGAAGGTATCCTCGATACCCTTCGGTGTTGCGAGCCTTTTGAGGTGCAGTGGGGGCTGTTGAAGATTCCAAAAGGTCAAGGATTTTCATGCCGCGCTTCGTCAACTGCAGTGGGCAGAAGTACCTGAGTTATTGGATGAAGATGTACATCTTTTGGATGGGTCGACTATCTGTCCAGAACATCCGTGTTTGTCATTGTCTGCGTGGGGAGTGGTGATAGCCGAGCTTTGTAAGCTCGATGGGGCTAAGGTTGTTGGCGGGGTACTGCCTGGGGAGCAGCAAACGAACAATGGCGCTGAATTGCTTGCTGTTCTGGCGGCAGTTCTCTCAGGCACTGGTGGTTCAGTTTACTCTGACCTCAGAAGGCGCCGTCTCCGGTTTCGTAAAATACAACAGCGGGGATTGTCACCTCTGTTGTGGCGCGTGGAGTTCTATTAATGCTGCCTTACAGAGGTCTCCACGGCCGTGCCACATCATCGAAATAAAGAGTCACCGACAGTGGCGGACTGCACCAGGTGATTACCACGCATGGTTGTGGTATCATAACCATCAAGCAGATGTTTGCGCAAAGCACGCCATGGAAGGTTTCGGGTGTGGGTTCTTGAAGCACATGTGCAAGCGCAGCGGGCTTGGCAGGATTCTTGTCTTCGTAAAGACGCAGCTTATCAGCTGCAGCTTGAGGTTTCGGATTGTTTTCGCGAAGCCAAAAGAACCACGAAAGAGTCATGCGCTGGCGCGGTTAGCGGGGATATGCTGCAGCTAAAGCTGCCAGCTTGCCTCGCATCGGCAAGCCCTCACCTGCCAACTTGTGACTTTTGCACACACGGTGCGTTCCCTGTTTCAACATTGTTGTAGATGTGCTTGGAATATCCAGAACATTCCTGCCCTGAGATTTGTAGGTGTTCCCTGTAAAGTTCCAACTATCCTATTCCGACCGAAGTTGCCTCATGCGGCGGCCATTGTACCGAAAATCCATCGGGACATGTGTGGTAGGGAATACAGATTGTTCTTGAAGACTTGCTATGTGGCTCCCAGGACTCCCCTGACTGGCCAGCTCGAGTATCCAGACCCACACATTTTTGCAGTGTCAAGTCAAGGCGATTCCACAGACAGAATCGTTGATTGACGCCAATTCGTATGATCCTGTATAGTCTCCAAGTGGTTGCTTCGAGATTGTCCGAGAGACTGCATGCATAAACCCTTAAACCCCTTAACCCTAAACCCCTAAGCCCCTAAACCCCAAACCCTAAACTCTAAACCCTTCACAACTCTCAAGGCTCCTCGCTAAACCCTTAAACCTGCAGCCCAAAGCTCTAATCTGCAGGTGACCGAGGAAGGATACTTGGGGCAAACGCAGCGGCAGATTGGCATTCTTCTCGGCGAGATGGAGATGTCTCCTGGCCATCATGTCGCTGTTTAGGGTATTAGGAACTACTAGGGATTGCGGTATCCTTCCATCGAAGATCATTCTCCGGAGCACCATACTCTATGCAAAGCCTCCTTGACCATCATTGAGGTTTAAAGTTTGGGGTTGTGCGGTTTAGGGCTTTGGGGCTCTCTATCTGGCGTTTAACCGCCACATACATGCCAGATGGTCATGGTATGCCTTCGGGTTGCCTGCTATAGTTGTCGTATAATTGCGCCCGATAGCCGCAGTATATCTGAGGCTTGCCTATTGTAACATGCCCGAAACTGCAGCAGTCTTTAGGGTTTGTATTCATTACGGTTGTATGATACGGCACCCCAAACCCCATCTAAAGATGAGGACCTCGTTGAGTAAACTATCAACCTTGACGGAGCGACATGGTAACATGTGGTACAATCAGGGTCTTAATGAATAAAATAAAGCTTTGGACGTACATTCTACTGTGCTTACAATGTGGAGCCCCAAGCTAGTATGGGTAATTTTTATAGAAGCCTATATCAACCCAGTGGCCTTGGCTTAGGCTTCTATGGGCTTTGTGGAGATTTGTTGGCTTCTAAAGAGGTTTACGGAGACTTTCGGGCTGTATAGCATGGTGGCTTACCAGATTTCAGCAGGGTTCGATGAGGCTTGCAGAGATCTGAGGGTTGGGATGAATGAGGGTGGACAAGTTGTTTAACGCTCCTGCACCCTAAACCCTTTAAGCCGTCTTCTGCGACTACAGCTTGCGCTATTTGTGCGCCCTCAAGTTGGTCTGATGACGACGAAGTCGGGCCCCAGGCCCCAAACCCATGCCACCCGACTACGCCAAGCCGAAACCCCAAACCCTAAACCCCCATAAGCCCTAACCCTAACCCTTAACCCTTAGCCCCAGTCTTAAACCCGAAGGCCAAGCCCCGCCCTGAAGTCGCAGCCCAAAAACTCGCTTTAGCAAGGCTGCAGCATCGCTTCCAAGTGGCAGGGCTAGGTGGTGCACCCCATGCAGAGGCCCGACTTAAGTATTTAGGGCTTAGAGTGTTTTGGAGGTTGGAGTCTCGGGCTTCGTGCTGGACTTGGGGATTTAGGGTTTAGGGCTTAGTGGTTTAGGGTTTAGGAATTATGGGGTTGGGTTTAGGGGTTTAGGGTTTAAGGTTTAGGGGAATTGAAAACTAAGGGGTGTAGCTACTCCCCGGCCTCTGGCTACTTGCTTGCTTTGGGGTGGAGACTGGGTTGAAGGTGTCAATGCTTCTCAGCCACAGAGACCTAGACTTCTGGATTCAGACCCTACATATAGTCTCCATTGCAGTTCCTTGTTTGGGCTTAACCAGATTTCTATATAGGATCCTATAAGGTAACCCCCGAAAAGAAACGACAATGCAGACCATGAGTACTTACAAGCAAGGAATTCTGCGCAAGGTTTGCAGTTTCACGATGCCAGCTCGGGAGCTGGGGGAGCCCTTACTTCAAGGATCATGGGACTTAGTAAGTAGGGTTATAATTAAGGTAACTATAACTTATAACCCCAATTAAGGGACTTATAACCCTACTTACTAAGTCCCATGATCCTTTAAGTAACCCTAAACCCGGATCCTCGCAGTGTCGATTTCGGGGCACCGTGTTGGGTCGAGTCGGGTGCAGGGCTGGGTGTGAGCCTTGAAGGTTGCTTATGGGGGGTTAGGGTTTAGGTCTTAGGGTTTGGGCTTAGGGCTTCGGGTTTAGGGGTTTAGGGTTTAGGGCTTCGGGCTTCGGGTTTAGGGATTTTCGGGTTTAGGGGTTTCGGGTTTAAGGTTTTGGCTGGAAGGGTGTAGGGTTCTCAAACATGAGGCGCAGAGTTTTGAAGATACGGGCTTCAGTAGTAGACACTCCGAAATCCTAAGCCATACTACGGCATACATCTTGGTAACGCTTTCAAGGAGAAAGACCAACAGTCTGAAGCAGTGTACGCTGCATTTGCCATCCTTGGGAAAGGTCATCAAGGAGAGCACGACTCTCCAGACCACCCTTCGTGGTGCTATGCACACCAGTGCTACGGCAGAAACGGCTGCGTCTTGCGACTATGAAGCCTGCTTGAGGGGGCTCTCTGAGCAGGCTCTCACAGATGTGCTGGTTTGGTGCATCTTCGAGCGTTTGGGGGCAGGCCGTGCAGGGAGGTCAATGTCTGCGGCAGCCAGATACCCTGGGCAAATCGCCAGGCCGAAGAAGTGTTCGTCAAAGTTTTGGCAGAAGTCCCTGGGTGGGCGGAAGTGAAGGAGAGCGCGAGCGTCAGCGTGAAGATGCATGCTTGGAGGATCATGGGACTTAGTAAGTAAGGCTATAAGTCCCCTAATTGGGGTTATAGGTATAGTGACCTTAGTTATAACCCTACTTACTAAGTCCCATGATCCTTTAAGTGAGGACAGGAAGTCCCTTGAAACGAAGACTAACGAGAAGTCCAAGCTCATTTCCGGTGTCAAGGACTTCATGTTCAAGGAAGGGCAGGAGGCAACCTATGTAGCCGTAAAAACCTCTAAGCCCTAAACTTCTAAGCCCTAAACCCTTCACCCGCCGCCCTAGCCTTGAACCCCTACAGCCGCCCCGAAGCCATAAACCCCTATATTAAACCCCATGGGACCGCCTTTGTCCGTCAGGTAGCGCAGGAGGCCGCCACGCGTCTGGAGAAC